TGGTCCAAAGGTTAAAGCTGTGCGCTCACGATGCAGTAACCCGGGTTCGATTCTGGGTAGAGTCTTTTTGTATTTATTGCATGTTATCACATTCTATGACAGATTGCTCTAAAAACGGTAAAAGATGAAGGCCAAGACGTTTTTTTGCAGATTATAGCTTAATTGTAAAAATAATCATTTAAGACCACATGTACCCCAATTAAAATAATGTTAGTCTCTTTTTGATGTGGGACTTTTACATGTTTGTCTAAAAAATAGGGAATAAATAAAATTGAAAGGTGATATCCTCTGGAGGAAATCCTGATGTTGATACGCTGAAGAAATACGTTCCAACATCCATTCTTCCCACTTCTATTTTGGACATCAATTGCTTATTTATTTTGCATAATCTATGTATAATTACATCGCTTTTATTTTGTTTTGTGTTTTTTTTTATCTCAAATGTCCAAATACAATAAAAAAAAATTCAACATTCATTCAACATTAGCACAGCTCATGGCAATGTGAATGGAGACAGACAAACAACTGATGAAATAATTCCCTGTGTTTGCTGCTGGATTTGGTGTGAATCTGGCAACCTGAGTCAGGGAGAGTGGGAGAGGACTACAAAATATTGACTGTGACTGCAGTACCACTTTTGGCCAGATTTTTACATATTGTTCCTTTAAATACAAATAAACTTTGCTTGCAAAAAAATTATTTGATCACAAACATATCGATACAAAATATGACAGCAAAATATAAGGCTGTTGAGTAATTTATTCATCTTTATTAATGACTCAATTATTATTAGACATCAATACATAAAATGAGCAATAAGAATCAGTGAACAAAAAACATTCATCAAGAACTTTAGCTCACATGCACAAAATAAATATAATAAATACATATAATAAATAAGTATAATAAATAACGGCATAATGTACTTACACATATACACTCAATACACAATTTTGATAAATAGAATACATTTGAATATATATATATGTATTGCTTTTATTTAAACTGCAACAGCCATAGGTAACAACTAATATTTTTAAACAACACTGACTTTTATCATTATTTCTCTGCTGATCACAAATTTAATAGACTTGTTTGTTATATACCTAAGGCATAAAAGCGCTATTCTTTAATGAAAGGAGGAAATCCGAGGCATTCTTGACAAAAAATAATAATCCAGAAGTCCCTGGCATAAATCTCTGTTCATTAAAGGATTTTTCTTATTCTGTCAAGTGCCTCAGGTTGTCCTCCTTTCTTCAATGTTTCCAGTGTTTTTGTCACTGCTGATCCTTACGAGCACCTGACTAAGATTGACCTACTGTAGCGCACTTGAACTTTATTTTTTGATGTTAGATGACCACAAATACACAAATATTACATTAGAATTTTAACTTCAAAAGCATATACATGTATTCAATTCAAAAAGTAAATACATAGCATGTTTTATAACCCAATTTATGGTCAGTTTCACCAGCTCGCTTTAGGGTGTTCGGAGCTTAAATTATCCATGTTAAAATATTGATCTACTTTGAGTTGAATTTGCCTGATTATTGCTTGTTTCCTCACTACCTTCTAACTAATGTGTGGTATGTAATAAAATGAATTTGACTCAAAATTATATTATCTAAATGGATTTTTCTGAAAAAATAAATCTCTTTGATTCAATCAAATCTAAAAATGAATATATTTTTTTCAGCTCTATATTGAAAAATTGTATTTAGAGAAGAACTATAGCTGTAAAAGCTATTATAATGGATAACAGACCTATTTTGTTGGTAGGAGCTGCGGCTGTCACCTGACCATCTCCACTGCCTGTTTCTGGTGTTGCTGTAGTTGTTGGCGTGTTTCCAGTATTTGTTCCATCTTCATTTGCAGATGCCATTGAAAGCAGAGCTGCCTCTGCTGCTGAAGTAGTTGCTGAAGCAGTCATGACTGCTGCATTAGCTAATGAACTTAATGTATCTACCAGATCTTCTATATTATCTGTTGATAAGCCTGTGAGCGCAGTCTCTGCCAATGTTTCAGCTGCTATTCCCGTGGCACCAGCCATTTGAGCCACAACTATGACGCTTTGAAGATTGGCTTTATCATTTGAACTTAAACTTGGTTGACTTGATAGAATGTCCTGAAGTCGTCTGGCCCCTTTGCTTGATTCAGTGGCCACAGATTTAGCTGCAGCTGCAGAATTTGTCAGTGTATCCATTGTTGCAGAACTTGATGCTGCTTCAGCTGCGGCTTTGGCTGCTTTGTTTGCTGCTTCAGCAGTGGCGTAAGCTATGGCTGCTTTTTCTGCCACATGATCTGCTTGGGAAGGTGGTGATGTGTCTGCTGCATTTATGGCAGCACGAGCGGCTTCTTTGGCTGCCTCAGAGGCAACTCTGGCAGCTTCCACAGCAAAATCTAAAGAAACTAAGTCGTCCAAAACTAGCTGAGCTGCTCTGGCTGCAGCATTAGCCGCTGCTGTAGCTGCTTCTGCAGCAAGGTGAGCACTTGGTCCTGCTGAGGCTGCTGCTGCTGAGGCTGCGGCTGCTGCGGCTGCAGCTGCTGCTGTTGAGGCAACTACTGCTCCTTGTTTAGCGGTGGCCAAGCCAATGGCTTTTCCTCCATTTGGGTTATCAGTTGTGGAAACAGATGAAGGTATATTTGTGGCTGTGTTGCCATTATCGGATGTTCTTGCCAATGATTCCTGAGAAGCCCTTGCTGCAGCTTGTGCTGCTCTGGCAGCGGATTTAGCAGTCGGTGTAATAAGTTCAGTTGAGTTTGTTACTATAGCATTAGCTGCTGTTTCTGATGCAATAGCAGTTGCTTCGGTCATATCTGCAACTATCTTTGCTACTTGTTTTATTCTTTCTATTTCAGAATCTTGAGTTTCAGTCACTGATGTCAATGTTTCTAGTGATGCAAGTGCTACTTTGCCCACCTCCATGGCTGCATTTGCGGTTTCAATTACCTCCTCTAATGATGAAGAATCCACACTTGCTTTTGCTGCTGCTTCTGCCGCTCTCCGTGCTGAAAGTGCTGCTTGGCTTGCTTTTTCAAATAGAGTTGCTGCTTGGGAGGTACGAACAAAAGGTCTTGCTGCATTAATGGCCCTATCTGCAGCATCAGCTGCATTTGAAGACGCTATTGCAGCCACTGTCAAAGGTTCATGTCCAGCTGCTACAGCCAAGGCAGCATCAGCTGCCCTTAGAGCTGCTGTCACAGCTAATGATATATCTTGAGGTAGTGCACCAGAGGCAGAGGCCAAAGATGCGCATAACGCTGTTGCGGCTGCTGCTGCTGCTGTAGCTGTTGACACTACTGATCGATCTGTTCTGGTGACAGGTGCTGGAGTGGGGGTCACTGTTTCACTGGATACATTGATGATGTCCCCACGTGGAAGGGCCAGTTCTGCTGCAATTGCACTAGCTATTGCAGCCTCTGCAGCCGCTTTGGCTGATGTTAACATATTATCAATTGTCTCTTCTTTTATGACACCTGTTGCAGCTATAGCTGCCATTGAAGTTGCTTTTCCCATTTCTGCCACTGCCTTTGTTGCTGAAATGGAAAGCCGAGTAGCTCTTGTTCTTGGAGTAGATGTCTCATTGAGAGAATTTAGAATTCTATCCAAAGAAAAGGAAGCCTCATCTAACGATTCAGAAACCTCTCTCTCTGCCTCTGCTGCTCCAATAATTGATTCATCTGTACCAGTGGTGGCTTGTTGTGCTGCATCTGCTGCCCTTGCAGCTTTCTTTTGTAAATCTATGGCTATAATTAGAAGTTTGTCAGCCACAAGTTTCAAAGATGAGGGAAGTTTAGAAGCTTCTACTTTTGCTGACTCGATAGCTTCCAGAGCTTTATTTGTGGCTTCCAGTGCTGCTTTGGCTGCTGCTGATGGTGGGCTCCTGTCATTGGCAACTGATGCCGCCACCATGGCTGCTTCCCTTGCTAATGTCATAGATAATTCTGCTGTGGGGGATTCTTTTGCTCCTACCAAAGTGGAAATAGAGGCTGCTGCGGCTACAGCAGCTGAGGCTGTTGCAGCGGCTGCTGATGCTGCTGCTGATGTTGTAGCCCTAATTGTTAAAGCTGAAGTGGAAGTACTGTATGATAATGCGTCAGTTGCATCTACAACTGCATCTTTTGCTGAAGGAATTACAGTATGATAAATCAATCTAATAGCCTCATATGAAAATAGCTGTGCATCACCTGGAGTGTTTGCTGTTAAAGACTCAATTGCTTTTTTAATGGCAATTGTGGTTCTACTAGCAGTATCTTCAGCATTTTTGGTTGCGCTTAATATGATCCCTTTTAATGTAGGGTCACTAACTTCAGACATATTTAGTTCTCGAGCAGCCTTTAACTCACTGATTGCTTGATTTGTTGCCATTGTAGACTCATTCATGGCTGCAGTAGCCTCCTCTAAGTTTACTGCATTTAAACTAGACACATTGTTCAATGCTTGGATCGATTTGAGAACTGCCTCTGTTGCTTTAGCAGATGCTTTGGCGAAATGTTCTGCGTATGGGAATAATGATCGTGAGGCATTCAGTGCTGCAAGGGAGGCCTCGAGTGCTTTTTGTGAGGTCAGTTGGGCGGCTTCTAGTGTGTCTTCGACAGATCCTTGTCCATTTAGTAATGCATCAGCTCGTCTAAGTCCCTCTTGAAGAATATTTAGAGATTCTGCGGCTGCTTCCTTGGCTTTTTGTGCTGCCGCCCTGTCAGCTGGGGATGCTGCTGGGGATGCTGCTACTGCTGCTGCTATGGCTGAAGCTGTTGCTGCAACTGTTGCTGCTGTGGCTGCAACACTAGCGGAAGTTGCTGCTATTGCATTCCTATTTGATACTGCTTGTGACAAATGGTTAGGTGCAGTTGAAGTAAGTGTTCTTGGTTGAAGTGTACTTGCGATTGCAGGTGTATGTGTCGTCAAAGTTTTCTGAGAGATGCTGGCCGCTGTGGTTAGAATTGTTTTAGTTGACAGAGCCATAGTTGTTGAAGCAGTAGTGGAAATATTGTTGATAATGCAACAAGTTGTCGTGGTTGGAGGAGATGTTGTTGTGGTTGGAGCCGTGGTTGTTGTGGTGGGAGGAGATGTTGTTGTGGTTGGAGCCGTGGTTGTCGTGGTTGGAGGAGATGTTGTTGTGGTTGGAGCCGTGGTTGTCGTGGTTGGAGGAGATGTTGTTGTGGTTGGAGCCGTGGTTGTTGTGGTTGGAGGAGATGTTGTTGTGGTTGGAGCCGTGGTTGTCGTGGTTGGAGGAGATGTTGTTGTGGTTGGAGCCGTGGTTGTCGTGGTTGGAGGAGATGTTGTTGTGGTTGGAGCCGTGGTTGTTGTGGTTGTAGGAGATGTTGTTGTGGTTGGAGCCGTGGTTGTCGTGGTTGGAGATGTTGTTGTGGTTAGAGCCGTGGTTGTCGTGGTTGGAGGAGATGTTGTTGTGGATGGAGCCGTGGTTGTCGTGGTTGGAGGAGATGTTGTTGTGGTTGGAGCTGTGGTTGTAGGAGATGTTGTTGTGGTTGGAGCTGTGGTTGTCGTGGTTGGAGGAGATGTTGTTGTGGTTGGAGCCGTGGTTGTCGTGGTTGGAGGAGATGTTGTTGTGGTTGGAGCTGTGGTTGTTGTGGTTGGAGGAGATGTTGTTGTGGTTGGAGCCGTGGTTGTTGTGGTTGGAGGAGATGTTGTTGTGGTTGGAGCCGTGGTTGTCGTGGTTGGAGATGTTGTTGTGGTTAGAGCCGTGGTTGTCGTGGTTGGAGGAGATGTTGTTGTGGATGGAGCCGTGGTTGTCGTGGGTGGAGGAGATGTTGTTGTGGTTGGAGCTGTGGTTGTCGTGGTTGGAGGAGATGTTGTTGTGGTTGGAGCCGTGGTTGGAGGAGATGTTGTTGTGGATGGAGCCGTGGTTGTTGTGGTTGGAGGAGATGTTGTTGTGGTTGGAGCCGTGGTTGTCGTGGTTGGAGGAGATGTTGTTGTGGTTGGAGCCGTGGTTGTCGTGGTTGGAGGAGATGTTGTTGTGGTTGGAGCTGTGGTTGTCGTGGTTGGAGGAGATGTTGTTGTGGTTGGAGCCGTGGTTGTTGTGGTTGGAGGAGATGTTGTTGTGGTTGGAGCCGTGGTTGTTGTGGTTGGAGGAGATGTTGTTGTGGTTGGAGCCGTGGTTGTCGTGGTTGGAGGAGATGTTGTTGTGGTTGGAGCCGTGGTTGGAGGAGATGTTGTTGTGGTTGGAGCCGTGGTTGTCTTGGTTGGAGGAGATGTTGTTGTGGTTGGAGCCGTGGTTGTCGTGGTTGGAGATGTTGTTGTGGTTGGAGCCGTGGTTGTTGTGGTTGGAGGAGATGTTGTTGTGGTTGGAGCCGTGGTTGGAGGAGATGTTGTTGTGGTTGGAGCCGTGGTTGTCGTGGTTGGAGGAGATGTTGTTGTGGTTGGAGCTGTGGTTGTAGGAGATGTTGTTGTGGTTGGAGCCGTGGTTGTCGTGGTTGGAGGAGATGTTGTTGTGGTTGGAGCCGTGGTTGTTGTGGTTGGAGGAGATGTCGTTGTGGTTGGAGCCGTGGTTGTCGTGGTTGGAGGAGATGTTGTTGTGGTTGGAGCTGTGGTTGTCGTGGTTGGAGGAGATGTTGTTGTGGTTGGAGCTGTGGTTGTCGTGGTTGGAGGAGATGTTGTTGTGGTTGGAGCCGTGGTTGTCGTGGTTGGAGGAGATGTTGTTGTGGTTGGAGCCGTGGTTGTCGTGGTTGGAGGAGATGTTGTTGTGGTTGGAGCTGTGGTTGTTGTGGTTGGAGGAGATGTTGTTGTGGTTGGAGCTGTGGTTGTTGTGGTTGGAGGAGATGTTGTTGTGGTTGGAGCCGTGGTCGTTGTGGTTGGAGGAGCTGTATTTGTAGTTGTTGGAGGAGCTGTGGTTGTTGTGGTTGGAGGATCTGTAGTTGTCGTGGTTGGAGGAGCTGTGGTTGTTGTGGTTGGAGGAGTTGTAGTTGTTGTGGTTGGAGGAGCTGTAGTTGTCGTGGTTGGAGGAGCTGTAGTTGTTGTGGTTTGAGGAGCTGTAGTTGTTGTGGTTAGAGGAGCTGTTGTTGTTGTGGTTGGAGGAGCTGTGGTTGTCGTGGTTGGAGGAGATGTTGTTGTGGTTGGAGCCGTGGTTGTCGTGGTTGGAGGAGATGTTGTTGTGGTTGGAGCCGTGGTTGTTGTGGTTGGAGGAGATGTCGTTGTGGTTGGAGCCGTGGTTGTTGTGGTTGGAGGAGATGTCGTTGTGGTTGGAGCCGTGGTTGTCTTGGTTGGAGGAGATGTCGTTGTGGTTGGAGCCGTGGTTGTTGTGGTTGGAGGAGATGTTGTTGTGGATGAAGCCGTGGTTGTCGTGGTTGGAGGAGATGTTGTTGTGGTTGGAGCCGTGGTTGGAGGAGATGTCGTGGTGGTTGGAGCCGTGGTTGTCGTGGTTGGAGGAGATGTTGTTGTGGTTGGAGCCGTGGTTGTCGTGGTTGGAGGAGATGTTGTTGTGGTTGGAGCCGTGGTTGTCGTGGTTGGAGGAGATGTTGTTGTGGTTGGAGCCGTGGTTGGAGGAGATGTTGTGGTGGTTGGAGCCGTGGTTGTCGTGGTTGGAGGAGATGTTGTTGTGGTTGGAGCCGTGGTTGTCGTGGTTGGAGGAGATGTTGTTGTGGTTGGAAGCCGTGGTTGTTGTGGTTGGAGGAGATGTCGTTGTGGTTGGAGCCGTGGTTGTTGTGGTTGGAGGAGATGTTGTGGTGGTTGGAGGCGTGGTTGTTGTGGTTGGAGGAGATGTTGTGGTTGGAGCCGTGGTTGTCGTGGTTGGAGGAGATGTTGTTGTGGTTGGAGCCGTGGTTGTCGTGGTTGGAGGAGATGTTGTTGTGGTTGGAGCCGTGGTTGTCGTGGTTGGAGGAGATGTTGTTGTGGTTGGAGCCGTGGTTGTCGTGGTTGGAGGAGATGTTGTTGTGGTTGGAGCCGTGGTTGTTGTGGTTGTAGGAGATGTTGTTGTGGTTGGAGCCGTGGTTGTCGTGGTTGGAGGAGATGTTGTTGTGGATGGAGCCGTGGTTGTCGTGGTTGGAGGAGATGTTGTTGTGGTTGGAGCTGTGGTTGTCGTGGTCGGAGGAGATGTTGTTGTGGTTGGAGCCGTGGTTGGAGGAGATGTTGTTGTGGTTGGAGCCGTGGTTTTCGTGGTTGGAGGAGATGTTGTTGTGGTTGGAGCCGTGGTTGTCGTGGTTGGAGGAGATGTCGTTGTGGTTGGAGCCGTGGGTGTCGTGGTTGGAGGAGATGTTGTTGTGGTTGGAGCTGTGGTTGTCGTGGTTGGAGGAGATGTTGTTGTGGTTGGAGCCGTGGTTGTTGTGGTTGGAGGAGATGTCGTTGTGGTTGGAGGAGATGTTGTTGTGGTTGGAGCCGTGGTTGTCGTGGTTGGAGGAGATGTTGTTGTGGTTGGAGCTGTGGTTGTAGGAGATGTTGTTGTGGTTGGAGCCGTGGTTGTCGTGGTTGGAGGAGATGTTGTTGTGGTTGGAGCCGTGGTTGTCGTGGTTGGAGGAGATGTTGTTGTGGTTGTCGTGGTTGGAGGAGATGTTGTTGTGGTTGGAGCTGTGGTTGTCGTGGTTGGAGGAGATGTTGTTGTGGTTGGAGCCGTGGTTGTCGTGGTTGGAGGAGATGTTGTTGTGGTTGGAGCCGTGGTTGGAGGAGATGTTGTTGTGGTTGGAGCTGTGGTTGTTGTGGTTGGAGGAGATGTTGTTGTGGTTGGAGCCGTGGTTGTTGTGGTTGGAGGAGATGTTGTTGTGGTTGGAGCCGTGGTTGTCGTGGTTGGAGATGTTGTTGTGGTTGGAGCTGTGGTTGTCGTGGTTGGAGGAGATGTTGTTGTGGTTGGAGCTGTGGTTGTCGTGGTTGGAGGAGATGTTGTTGTGGTTGGAGCCGTGGTTGTCGTGGTTGGAGGAGATGTTGTTGTGGTTGGAGCCGTGGTTGTCGTGGTTGGAGGAGATGTTGTTGTGGTTGGAGCCGTGGTTGGAGGAGATGTTGTTGTGGTTGGAGCCGTGGTTGTCGTGGTTGGAGGAGATGTTGTTGTGGTTGGAGCTGTGGTTGTTGTGGTTGGAGGAGATGTTGTTGTGGTTGGAGCCGTGGTCGTTGTGGTTGGAGGAGCTGTATTTGTAGTTGTTGGAGGAGCTGTGGTTGTTGTGGTTGGAGGATCTGTAGTTGTCGTGGTTGGAGGAGCTGTGGTTGTTGTGGTTGGAGGAGTTGTAGTTGTTGTGGTTGGAGGAGCTGTAGTTGTCGTGGTTGGAGGAGCTGTAGTTGTTGTGGTTTGAGGAGCTGTAGTTGTTGTGGTTAGAGGAGCTGTTGTTGTTGTGGTTGGAGGAGCTGTGGTTGTCGTGGTTGGAGGAGATGTTGTTGTGGTTGGAGCCGTGGTTGTCGTGGTTGGAGGAGATGTTGTTGTGGTTGGAGCCGTGGTTGTTGTGGTTGGAGGAGATGTCGTTGTGGTTGGAGCCGTGGTTGTTGTGGTTGGAGGAGATGTCGTTGTGGTTGGAGCCGTGGTTGTCTTGGTTGGAGGAGATGTCGTTGTGGTTGGAGCCGTGGTTGTTGTGGTTGGAGGAGATGTTGTTGTGGATGAAGCCGTGGTTGTCGTGGTTGGAGGAGATGTTGTTGTGGTTGGAGCCGTGGTTGGAGGAGATGTTGTGGTGGTTGGAGCCGTGGTTGTCGTGGTTGGAGGAGATGTTGTTGTGGTTGGAGCCGTGGTTGTCGTGGTTGGAGGAGATGTTGTTGTGGTTGGAGCCGTGGTTGTCGTGGTTGGAGGAGATGTTGTTGTGGTTGGAGCCGTGGTTGGAGGAGATGTTGTGGTGGTTGGAGCCGTGGTTGTCGTGGTTGGAGGAGATGTTGTTGTGGTTGGAGCCGTGGTTGTCGTGGTTGGAGGAGATGTTGTTGTGGTTGGAGCCGTGGTTGTTGTGGTTGGAGGAGATGTCGTTGTGGTTGGAGCCGTGGTTGTTGTGGTTGGAGGAGATGTTGTGGTGGTTGGAGCCGTGGTTGTTGTGGTTGGAGGAGATGTTGTGGTTGGAGCCGTGGTTGTCGTGGTTGGAGGAGATGTTGTTGTGGTTGGAGCCGTGGTTGTCGTGGTTGGAGGAGATGTTGTTGTGGTTGGAGCCGTGGTTGTCGTGGTTGGAGGAGATGTTGTTGTGGTTGGAGCCGTGGTTGTCGTGGTTGGAGGAGATGTTGTTGTGGTTGGAGCCGTGGTTGTTGTGGTTGGAGGAGATGTTGTTGTGGTTGGAGCCGTGGTTGTCGTGGTTGGAGGAGATGTTGTTGTGGTTGGAGCCGTGGTTGTCGTGGTTGGAGGAGATGTTGTTGTGGTTGGAGCTGTGGTTGTCGTGGTTGGAGGAGATATTGTTGTGGTTGGAGCCGTGGTTGTCGTGGTTGGAGGAGATGTTGTTGTGGATGAAGCCGTGGTTGTCGTGGTTGGAGGAGATGTTGTTGTGGTTGGAGCCGTGGTTGTCGTGGTTGGAGGAGATGTTGTTGTGGTTGGAGCCGTGGTTGGAAGAGATGTTGTTGTGGTTGGAGCCGTGGTTGGAGGAGATGTTGTTGTGGTTGGAGCCGTGGTTGTCGTGGTTGGAGGAGATGTTGTTGTGGATGAAGCCGTGGTTGTCGTGGTTGGAGGAGATGTTGTTGTGGTTGGAGCCGTGGTTGTCGTGGTTGGAGGAGATGTTGTTGTGGTTGGAGCCGTGGTTGGAAGAGATGTTGTTGTGGTTGGAGCCGTGGTTGGAGCCGTGGTTGGAGGAGATGTTGTTGTGGTTGGAGCCGTGGTTGTCGTGGTTGGAGGAGATGTTGTTGTGGTTGGAGCCGTGGTTGGAAGAGATGTTGTTGTGGTTGGAGCCGTGGTTGGAAGAGATGTTGTTGTGGTTGGAGCCGTGGTTGGAGGAGATGTTGTTGTGGTTGGAGCCGTGGTTGGAGGAGCTGTTGTTGTCGTGGTTGGAGCTGTAGTTGTCGTGGTTGGAGGAGCTGTGGTTGTTGTGGTTGGAGGAGCTGTAGTAGTCGTGGTTGGAAGAGCTGTAGTGGTTGTGGTTGGAGGAGCTGTTGTTGTCGTGGTTAGAGCCGTGGTCGTTGTGGTTGGAGGAGCTTTATTTGTAGTTGTTGGAGGAGCTGTTGTTGTCGTGGTTAGAGGAGCTGTTGTTGTTGTGGTTGGAGGAGCTGTAGTTGTAGTGGTTGGAGGAGCTGTAGTTGTTGTGGTTGGAGGAGCTGTAGTTGTTGTGGTTGGAGGAGCTGTATTTGTCGTGGTTGGAGCTGTGGTCGTTGTGGTTGGAGGAGCTGTAGTTGTAGTTGTTGGAGGAGCTGTAGTTGTCGTGGTTGGAGGAGCTGTAGTTGTTGTGGTTGGAGGGGCTGTAGTTGTTGTGGTTGGAGGAGCTTTAGTTGTTGGAGGAGCTGTTGTCGTGGTTGGAGGAGCTGTAGTTGTAGTGGTTGGAGGAGCTGTAGTTGTCGTGGTTGGCGGAGCTGTGGTTGTCGTGGTTGGAGGGGCTGTAGTTGTGGTTGGGAGAGCTGTTGTTGTCGTGGTTGGAGGGGCTGTAGTTGTCGTGGTTGGAGGAATTGTGGTTGTAGTGGTTGGAGGAGCTGTTGTTGTCGTGGTTGGAGGATCTGTAGTTGTCGTGGTTGGAGGAGCTGTGGTTGTTGTGGTTGGAGGAGCTGTAGTTGTTGTGGTTTGAGGAGCTGTAGTTGTTGTGGTTAGAGGAGCTGTTGTTGTTGTGGTTGGAGGAGCTGTAGTTGTCGTGGTTGGAGGAGCTGTGGTTGTTGTGGTTGGAGGAGCTGTAGTTGTTGTGGTTGGAGGAGCTGTAGTTGTCGTGGTTGGAGGAGCTGTTGTTGTCGTGGTTGGAGCTGTGGTCGTTGTGGTTGGAGGAGCTGTAGTTGTAGTCGTTGGAGGAGCTGTTGTCGTGGTTGGAGGAGCTGTAGTTGTAGTGGTTGGAGGAGCTGTAGTTGTTGTGGTTAGAGGAGCTGTTGTTGTTGTGGTTGGAGGAGCTGTAGTTGTAGTGGTTGGAGGAGCTGTAGTTGTTGTGGTTGGAGGAGCTGTAGTTGTAGTGGTTGGAGGAGCTGTAGTTGTTGTGGTTGGAGGAGCTGTAGTTGTCGTGGTTGGAGGAGCTGTTGTTGTCGTGGTTGGAGCTGTGGTCGTTGTGGTTGGAGGAGCTGTAGTTGTAGTTGTTGGAGGAGCTGTTGTCGTGGTTGGAGGAGCTGTAGTTGTAGTGGTTGGAGGAGCTGTAGTTGTCGTGGTTGGCGGAGCTGTGTTTGTCGTGGTTGGAGGGGCTGTAGTTGTGGTTGGGAGAGCTGTTGTTGTCGTGGTTGGAGGGGCTGTAGTGGTTGGAGGAATTGTGGTTGTAGTGGTTGGAGGAGCTGTAGTTGTTGTGGTTGGAGGAGCTGTAGTTGTCGTGGTTGGAGGAATTGTAGTTGTAGTGGTTGGCGGAGCTGTGGTTGTCGTGGTTGGAGGGGCTGTAGTTGTGGTTGGGAGAGCTGTTGTTTTCGTGGTTGGAGGGGCTGTAGTTATTGTGGTTGGAGGAGCTGTAGTTGTAGTGGTTGGAGGAGCTGTAGTTTTCGTGGTTGGAGGGGCTGTAGTTGTTGTGGTTGGAGGAGCTGTAGTTGTAGTGGTTGGAGGAGCTGTAGTTGTTGTGGTTGGGAGAACTGTTGTTTTCGTGGTTTGAGGGGCTGTAGTTGTTGTGGTTGGAGGAGCTGTAGTTGTAGTGGTTGGAGGAGCTGTAGTTGTTGTGGTTGGAGTAGCTGTAGTTGTTGTGGTTTGAGGAGCTGTAGTTGTTGTGGTTAGAGGAGCTGTTGTTGTTGTGGTTGGAGGAGCTGTAGTTGTCGTGGTTGGAGGAGCTGTAGTTGTCGTGGTTGGAGGAGCTGTAGTTGTTGTGGTTGGAGGGGCTGTAGTTGTTGTGGTTGGAGGAGCTGTAGTTGTAGTGGTTGGAGGAGCTGTAGTTGTTGTGGTTTGAGGAGCTGTAGTTGTTGTGGTTAGAGGAGCTGTTGTTGTTTTGGTTGGAGGGGCTGTAGTTGTTGTGGTTGGAGGAGCTGTAGTTGTTGTGGTTGGAGGAGCTGTAGTTGTCGTGGTTGGAGCTGTGGTCGTTGTGGTTGGAGGAGCTGTAGTTGTAGTTGTTGGAGGAGCTGTAGTTGTCGTGGTTGGAGGAGCTGTAGTTGTTGTGGTTGGAGGGGCTGTAGTTGTTGTGGTTGGAGGCGCTGTAGTTGTTGGAGGAGCTGTTGTCGTGGTTGGAGGAGCTGTAGTTGTAGTGGTTGGAGGAGCTGTAGTTGTCGTGGTTGGCGGAGCTGTGGTTGTCGTGGTTGGAGGGGCTGTAGTTGTGGTTGGGAGAGCTGTTGTTGTCGTGGTTGGAGGGGCTGTAGTTGTCGTGGTTGGAGGAATTGTGGTTGTAGTGGTTGGAGGAGCTGTTGTTGTCGTGGTTGGAGGATCTGTAGTTGTCGTGGTTGGAGGAGCTGTAGTTGTTGTGGTTGGAGGGGCTGTAGTTGTTGTGGTTGAAGGAGCTGTAGTTGTTGGAGGAGCTGTTGTCGTGGTTGGAGGAGCTGTAGTTGTAGTGGTTGGAGGAGCTGTAGTTGTCGTGGTTGGCGGAGCTGTGGTTGTCGTGGTTGGAGGGGCTGTAGTTGTGGTTGGGAGAGCTGTTGTTGTCGTGGTTGGAGGGGCTGTAGTTGTCGTGGTTGGAGGAATTGTGGTTGTAGTGGTTGGAGGAGCTGTTGTTGTCGTGGTTGGAGGATCTGTAGTTGTCGTGGTTGGAGGAGCTGTGGTTGTTGTGGTTGGAGGAGCTATAGTTGTTGTGGTTTGAGGAGCTGTAGTTTTTGTGGTTAGAGGAGCTGTTGTTGTTGTGGTTGGAGGAGCTGTAGTTGTCGTGGTTGGAGGAGCTGTGGTTGTTGTGGTTGGAGGAGCTGTAGTTGTTGTGGTTGGAGGAGCTGTAGTTGTCGTGGTTGGAGGAGCTGTTGTTGTCGTGGTTGGAGCTGTGGTCGTTGTGGTTGGAGGAGCTGTAGTTGTAGTCGTTGGAGGAGCTGTTGTCGTGGTTGGAGGAGCTGTAGTTGTAGTGGTTGGAGGAGCTGTAGTTGTAGTGGTTGGAGGAGCTGTAGTTTTCGTGGTTGGAGGGGCTGTAGTTGTTGTGGTTGGAGGAGCTGTAGTTGTAGTGGTTGGAGGAGCTGTAGTTGTTGTGGTTGGAGTAGCTGTAGTTGTTGTGGTTTGAGGAGCTGTAGTTGTTGTGGTTAGAGGAGCTGTTGTTGTTGTGGTTGGAGGAGCTGTAGTTGTCGTGGTTGGAGGAGCTGTAGTTGTCGTGGTTTGAGGAGCTGTTGTTGTCGTGGTTGGAGGATCTGTAGTTGTTGTGGTTGGAGGAGCTGTGGTTGTTGTGGTTGGAGGAGCTGTAGTTGTCATGGTTGGAGGAGCTGTAGTTGTTGTGGTTGGAGGAGCTGTAGTTGTAGTCGTTGGAGGAGCTGTTGTCGTGGTTGGAGGAGCTGTAGTTGTCGTGGTTGGAGGAGCTGTAGTTGTAGTGGTTGGAGGAGCTGTAGTTGTTGTGGTTGGAGGAGCTGTAGTTGTAGTGGTTGGAGGAGCTGTAGTTGTTGTGGTTTGAGGAGCTGTAGTTGTCGTGGTTGGAGGAGCTGTTGTCGTGGTTGGAGGAGCTGTAGTTGTAGTGGTTGGAGGAGCTGTAGTTGTTGTGGTTTGAGGAGCTGTAGTTGTTGTGGTTAGAGGAGCTGTTGTTGTTGTGGTTGGAGGAGCTGTAGTTGTCGTGGTTGGAGGAGCTGTAGTTGTCGTGGTTGGAGGAGCTGTTGTTGTTGTGGTTGGAGGGGCTGTAGTTGTTGTGGTGGGAGGAGCTGTGGTTGTTGTGGTTGGAGGAGCTGTAGTTGTCGTGGTTGGAGGAGCTGTTGTTGTCGTGGTTGGAGCTGTTGTCGTGGTTGGAGGAGCTGTAGTTGTAGTGGTTGGAGGAGCTGTAGTTGTCGTGGTTGGCGGAGCTGTTGTTGTCGTGGTTGGAGGAATTGTGGTTGTAGTGGTTGGAAGAGCTGTTGTTGTCGTGGTTGGAGGATCTGTAGTTGTCGTGGTTGGAGGAGCTGTGGTTGTTGTGGTTGGAGGAGCTGTAGTTGTTGTGGTTTGAGGAGCTGTAGTTGTTGTGGTTAGAGGAGCTGTTGTTGTTGTGCTTGGAGGAGCTGTAGTTGTCGTGGTTGGAGGAGCTGTGGTTGTTGTGGTTGGAGGAGCTGTAGTTGTTGTGGTTGGAGGAGCTGTAGTTGTCGTGGTTGGAGGAGCTGTAGTTGTCGTGGTTGGAGGAGCTGTTGTTGTCGTGGTTGGAGCTGTGGTCGTTGTGGTTGGAGGAGCTGTAGTTGTAGTTGTTGGAGGAGCTGTTGTCGTGGTTGGAGGAGCTGTTGTAGTGGTTGTGGTTGGAGGAGCTGTAGTTGTCGTGGTTTGAGGAGCTGTTGTTGTCGTGGTTGGAGGATCTGTAGTTGTTGTGGTTGGAGGAGCTGTTGTTGTCATGGTTGGAGGAGCTGTAGTTGTTGTGGTTGGAGGAGCTGTAGTTGTAGTGGTTGGAGGAGCTGTAGTTGTCGTGGTTGGAGGAGCTGTAGTTTTCGTGGTTGGAGGGGCTGTAGTTGTTGTGGTTGGAGGAGCTGTAGTTGTAGTGGTTGGAGGAGCTGTAGTTGTTGTGGTTGGAGTAGCTGTAGTTGTTGTGGTTAGAGGAGCTGTTGTTGTTGTGGTTGGAGGAGCTGTAGTTGTCGTGGTTGGAGGAGCTGTAGTTGTCGTGGTTGGAGGAGCTGTAGTTGTTGTGGTTGGAGGGGCTGTAGTTGTTGTGGTTGGAGGAGCTGTAGTTGTAGTGGTTGGAGGAGCTGTAGTTGTTGTGGTTTGAGGAGCTGTAGTTGTTGTGGTTAGAGGAGCTGTTGTTGTTTTGGTTGGAGGGGCTGTAGTTGTTGTGGTTGGAGGAGCTGTAGTTGTTGTGGTTGGAATAGCTGTAGTTGTCGTGGTTGGAGCTGTGGTCGTTGTGGTTGGAGGAGCTGTAGTTGTAGTTGTTGGAGGAGCTGTAGTTGTCGTGGTTGGAGGAGCTGTAGTTGTTGTGGTTGGAGGGGCTGTAGTTGTTGTGGTTGGAGGAGCTGTAGTTGTTGGAGGAGCTGTTGTCGTGGTTGGAGGAGCTGTAGTTGTAGTGGTTGGAGGAGCTGTAGTTGTCGTGGTTGGCGGAGCTGTGGTTGTCGTGGTTGGAGGGGCTGTAGTTGTGGTTGGGAGAGCTGTTGTTGTCGTGGTTGGAGGGGCTGTAGTTGTCGTGGTTGGAGGAATTGTGGTTGTAGTGGTTGGAGGAGCTGTTGTTGTCGTGGTTGGAGGAGCTGTAGTTGTTGTGGTTGGAGGGGCTGTAGTTGTTGTGGTTGGAGGAGCTGTAGTTGTTGGAGGAGCTGTTGTCGTGGTTGGAGGAGCTGTAGTTGTAGTGGTTGGAGGAGCTGTAGTTGTCGTGGTTGGCGGAGCTGTAGTTTTCGTGGTTGGAGGGGCTGTAGTTGTTGTGGTTGGAGGAGCTGTAGTTGTAGTGGTTGGAGGAGCTGTAGTTGTTGTGGTTGGGAGAACTGTTGTTTTCGTGGTTTGAGGGGCTGTAGTTGTTGTGGTTGGAGGAGCTGTAGTTGTTGTGGTTGGAGGAGCTGTAGTTGTCGTGGTTGGAGGAGCTGTAGTTGTCGTGGTTGGAGGAGCTGTTGTTGTCGTGGTTGGAGCTGTGGTCGTTGTGGTTGGAGGAGCTGTAGTTGTCGTGGTTGGAGGAATTGTGGTTGTAGTGGTTGGAGGAGCTGTTGTTGTCGTGGTTGGAGGATCTGTAGTTGTCGTGGTTGGAGGAGCTGTGGTTGTTGTGGTTGGAGGAGCTATAGTTGTTGTGGTTTGAGGAGCTGTAGTTTTTGTGGTTAGAGGAGCTGTTGTTGTTGTGGTTGGAGGAGCTGTAGTTGTCGTGGTTGGAGGAGCTGTGGTTGTTGTGGTTGGAGGAGCTGTAGTTGTTGTGGTTGGAGGAGCTGTAGTTGTCGTGGTTGGAGGAGCTGTTGTTGTCGTGGTTGGAGCTGTGGTCGTTGTGGTTGGAGGAGCTGTAGTTGTAGTCGTTGGAGGAGCTGTTGTCGTGGTTGGAGGAGCTGTAGTTGTAGTGGTTGGAGGAGCTGTAGTTGTAGTGGTTGGAGGAGCTGTAGTTTTCGTGGTTGGAGGGGCTGTAGTTGTTGTGGTTGGAGGAGCTGTAGTTGTAGTGGTTGGAGGAGCTGTAGTTGTTGTGGGTTGGAGTAGCTGTAGTTGTTGTGGTTTGAGGAGCTGTAGTTGTTGTGGTTAGAGGAGCTGTTGTTGTTGTGGTTGGAGGAGCTGTAGTTGTCGTGGTTGGAGGAGCTGTAGTTGTCGTGGTTTGAGGAGCTGTTGTTGTCGTGGTTGGAGGATCTGTAGTTGTTGTGGTTGGAGGAGCTGTGGTTGTTGTGGTTGGAGGAGCTGTAGTTGTCATGGTTGGAGGAGCTGTAGTTGTTGTGGTTGGAGGAGCTGTAGTTGTAGTCGTTGGAGGAGCTGTTGTCGTGGTTGGAGGAGCTGTAGTTGTCGTGGTTGGAGGAGCTGTAGTTGTAGTGGTTGGAGGAGCTGTAGTTGTTGTGGTTGGAGGAGCTGTAGTTGTAGTGGTTGGAGGAGCTGTAGTTGTTGTGGTTTGAGGAGCTGTAGTTGTCGTGGTTGGAGGAGCTGTTGTCGTGGTTGGAGGAGCTGTAGTTGTAGTGGTTGGAGGAGCTGTAGTTGTTGTGGTTTGAGGAGCTGTAGTTGTTGTGGTTAGAGGAGCTGTTGTTGTTGTGGTTGGAGGAGCTGTAGTTGTCGTGGTTGGAGGAGCTGTAGTTGTCGTGGTTGGAGGAGCTGTTGTTGTTGTGGTTGGAGGGGCTGTAGTTGTTGTGGTGGGAGGAGCTGTGGTTGTTGTGGTTGGAGGAGCTGTAGTTGTCGTGGTTGGAGGAGCTGTTGTTGTCGTGGTTGGAGCTGTTGTCGTGGTTGGAGGAGCTGTAGTTGTAGTGGTTGGAGGAGCTGTAGTTGTCGTGGTTGGCGGAGCTGTTGTTGTCGTGGTTGGAGGAATTGTGGTTGTAGTGGTTGGAAGAGCTGTTGTTGTCGTGGTTGGAGGATCTGTAGTTGTCGTGGTTGGAGGAGCTGTGGTTGTTGTGGTTGGAGGAGCTGTAGTTGTTGTGGTTTGAGGAGCTGTAGTTGTTGTGGTTAGAGGAGCTGTTGTTGTTGTGCTTGGAGGAGCTGTAGTTGTCGTGGTTGGAGGAGCTGTGGTTGTTGTGGTTGGAGGAGCTGTAGTTGTTGTGGTTGGAGGAGCTGTAGTTGTCGTGGTTGGAGGAGCTGTAGTTGTCGTGGTTGGAGGAGCTGTAGTTGTCGTGGTTTGAGGAGCTGTTGTTGTCGTGGTTGGAGGATCTGTAGTTGTTGTGGTTGGAGGAGCTGTGGTTGTTGTGGTTGGAGGAGCTGTAGTTGTCATGGTTGGAGGAGCTGTAGTTGTTGTGGTTGGAGGAGCTGTAGTTGTAGTCGTTGGAGGAGCTGTTGTCGTGGTTGGAGGAGCTGTAGTTGTCGTGGTTGGAGGAGCTGTAGTTGTAGTGGTTGGAGGAGCTGTAGTTGTTGTGGTTGGAGGAGCTGTAGTTGTAGTGGTTGGAGGAGCTGTAGTTGTTGTGGTTTGAGGAGCTGTAGTTGTCGTGGTTGGAGGAGCTGTTGTCGTGGTTGGAGGAGCTGTAGTTGTAGTGGTTGGAGGAGCTGTAGTTGTTGTGGTTTGAGGAGCTGTAGTTGTTGTGGTTAGAGGAGCTGTTGTTGTTGTGGTTGGAGGAGCTGTAGTTGTCGTGGTTGGAGGAGCTGTAGTTGTCGTGGTTGGAGGAGCTGTTGTTGTTGTGGTTGGAGGGGCTGTAGTTGTTGTGGTGGGAGGAGCTGTGGTTGTTGTGGTTGGAGGAGCTGTAGTTGTCGTGGTTGGAGGAGCTGTTGTTGTCGTGGTTGGAGCTGTTGTCGTGGTTGGAGGAGCTGTAGTTGTAGTGGTTGGAGGAGCTGTAGTTGTCGTGGTTGGCGGAGCTGTTGTTGTCGTGGTTGGAGGAATTGTGGTTGTAGTGGTTGGAAGAGCTGTTGTTGTCGTGGTTGGAGGATCTGTAGTTGTCGTGGTTGGAGGAGCTGTGGTTGTTGTGGTTGGAGGAGCTGTAGTTGTTGTGGTTTGAGGAGCTGTAGTTGTTGTGGTTAGAGGAGCTGTTGTTGTTGTGCTTGGAGGAGCTGTAGTTGTCGTGGTTGGAGGAGCTGTGGTTGTTGTGGTTGGAGGAGCTGTAGTTGTTGTGGTTGGAGGAGCTGTAGTTGTCGTGGTTGGAGGAGCTGTAGTTGTCGTGGTTGGAGGAGCTGTTGTTGTCGTGGTTGGAGCTGTGGTCGTTGTGGTTGGAGGAGCTGTAGTTGTAGTTGTTGGAGGAGCTGTTGTCGTGGTTGGAGGAGCTGTTGTAGTGGTTGTGGTTGGAGGAGCTGTAGTTGTCGTGGTTTGAGGAGCTGTTGTTGTCGTGGTTGGAGGATCTGTAGTTGTTGTGGTTGGAGGAGCTGTTGTTGTCATGGTTGGAGGAGCTGTAGTTGTTGTGGTTGGAGGAGCTGTAGTTGTAGTGGTTGGAGGAGCTGTAGTTGTCGTGGTTGGAGGAGCTGTAGTTTTCGTGGTTGGAGGGGCTGTAGTTGTTGTGGTTGGAGGAGCTGTAGTTGTAGTGGTTGGAGGAGCTGTAGTTGTTGTGGTTGGAGTAGCTGTAGTTGTTGTGGTTAGAGGAGCTGTTGTTGTTGTGGTTGGAGGAGCTGTAGTTGTCGTGGTTGGAGGAGCTGTAGTTGTCGTGGTTGGAGGAGCTGTAGTTGTTGTGGTTGGAGGGGCTGTAGTTGTTGTGGTTGGAGGAGCTGTAGTTGTAGTGGTTGGAGGAGCTGTAGTTGTTGTGGTTTGAGGAGCTGTAGTTGTTGTGGTTAGAGGAGCTGTTGTTGTTTTGGTTGGAGGGGCTGTAGTTGTTGTGGTTGGAGGAGCTGTAGTTGTTGTGGTTGGAATAGCTGTAGTTGTCGTGGTTGGAGCTGTGGTCGTTGTGGTTGGAGGAGCTGTAGTTGTAGTTGTTGGAGGAGCTGTAGTTGTCGTGGTTGGAGGAGCTGTAGTTGTTGTGGTTGGAGGGGCTGTAGTTGTTGTGGTTGGAGGAGCTGTAGTTGTTGGAGGAGCTGTTGTCGTGGTTGGAGGAGCTGTAGTTGTAGTGGTTGGAGGAGCTGTAGTTGTCGTGGTTGGCGGAGCTGTGGTTGTCGTGGTTGGAGGGGCTGTAGTTGTGGTTGGGAGAGCTGTTGTTGTCGTGGTTGGAGGGGCTGTAGTTGTCGTGGTTGGAGGAATTGTGGTTGTAGTGGTTGGAGGAGCTGTTGTTGTCGTGGTTGGAGGAGCTGTAGTTGTTGTGGTTGGAGGGGCTGTAGTTGTTGTGGTTGGAGGAGCTGTAGTTGTTGGAGGAGCTGTTGTCGTGGTTGGAGGAGCTGTAGTTGTAGTGGTTGGAGGAGCTGTAGTTGTCGTGGTTGGCGGAGCTGTAGTTTTCGTGGTTGGAGGGGCTGTAGTTGTTGTGGTTGGAGGAGCTGTAGTTGTAGTGGTTGGAGGAGCTGTAGTTGTTGTGGTTGGGAGAACTGTTGTTTTCGTGGTTTGAGGGGCTGTAGTTGTTGTGGTTGGAGGAGCTGTAGTTGTTGTGGTTGGAGGAGCTGTAGTTGTCGTGGTTGGAGGAGCTGTAGTTGTCGTGGTTGGAGGAGCTGTTGTTGTCGTGGTTGGAGCTGTGGTCGTTGTGGTTGGAGGAGCTGTAGTTGTCGTGGTTGGAGGAATTGTGGTTGTAGTGGTTGGAGGAGCTGTTGTTGTCGTGGTTGGAGGATCTGTAGTTGTCGTGGTTGGAGGAGCTGTGGTTGTTGTGGTTGGAGGAGCTATAGTTGTTGTGGTTTGAGGAGCTGTAGTTTTTGTGGTTAGAGGAGCTGTTGTTGTTGTGGTTGGAGGAGCTGTAGTTGTCGTGGTTGGAGGAGCTGTGGTTGTTGTGGTTGGAGGAGCTGTAGTTGTTGTGGTTGGAGGAGCTGTAGTTGTCGTGGTTGGAGGAGCTGTTGTTGTCGTGGTTGGAGCTGTGGTCGTTGTGGTTGGAGGAGCTGTAGTTGTAGTCGTTGGAGGAGCTGTTGTCGTGGTTGGAGGAGCTGTAGTTGTAGTGGTTGGAGGAGCTGTAGTTGTAGTGGTTGGAGGAGCTGTAGTTTTCGTGGTTGGAGGGGCTGTAGTTGTTGTGGTTGGAGGAGCTGTAGTTGTAGTGGTTGGAGGAGCTGTAGTTGTTGTGGTTGGAGTAGCTGTAGTTGTTGTGGTTTGAGGAGCTGTAGTTGTTGTGGTTAGAGGAGCTGTTGTTGTTGTGGTTGGAGGAGCTGTAGTTGTCGTGGTTGGAGGAGCTGTAGTTGTCGTGGTTTGAGGAGCTGTTGTTGTCGTGGTTGGAGGATCTGTAGTTGTTGTGGTTGGAGGAGCTGTGGTTGTTGTGGTTGGAGGAGCTGTAGTTGTCATGGTTGGAGGAGCTGTAGTTGTTGTGGTTGGAGGAGCTGTAGTTGTAGTCGTTGGAGGAGCTGTTGTCGTGGTTGGAGGAGCTGTAGTTGTCGTGGTTGGAGGAGCTGTAGTTGTAGTGGTTGGAGGAGCTGTAGTTGTTGTGGTTGGAGGAGCTGTAGTTGTAGTGGTTGGAGGAGCTGTAGTTGTTGTGGTTTGAGGAGCTGTAGTTGTCGTGGTTGGAGGAGCTGTTGTCGTGGTTGGAGGAGCTGTAGTTGTAGTGGTTGGAGGAGCTGTAGTTGTTGTGGTTTGAGGAGCTGTAGTTGTTGTGGTTAGAGGAGCTGTTGTTGTTGTGGTTGGAGGAGCTGTAGTTGTCGTGGTTGGAGGAGCTGTAGTTGTCGTGGTTGGAGGAGCTGTTGTTGTTGTGGTTGGAGGGGCTGTAGTTGTTGTGGTGGGAGGAGCTGTGGTTGTTGTGGTTGGAGGAGCTGTAGTTGTCGTGGTTGGAGGAGCTGTTGTTGTCGTGGTTGGAGCTGTTGTCGTGGTTGGAGGAGCTGTAGTTGTAGTGGTTGGAGGAGCTGTAGTTGTCGTGGTTGGCGGAGCTGTTGTTGTCGTGGTTGGAGGAATTGTGGTTGTAGTGGTTGGAAGAGCTGTTGTTGTCGTGGTTGGAGGATCTGTAGTTGTCGTGGTTGGAGGAGCTGTGGTTGTTGTGGTTGGAGGAGCTGTAGTTGTTGTGGTTTGAGGAGCTGTAGTTGTTGTGGTTAGAGGAGCTGTTGTTGTTGTGCTTGGAGGAGCTGTAGTTGTCGTGGTTGGAGGAGCTGTGGTTGTTGTGGTTGGAGGAGCTGTAGTTGTTGTGGTTGGAGGAGCTGTAGTTGTCGTGGTTGGAGGAGCTGTAGTTGTCGTGGTTGGAGGAGCTGTTGTTGTCGTGGTTGGAGCTGTGGTCGTTGTGGTTGGAGGAGCTGTAGTTGTAGTTGTTGGAGGAGCTGTTGTCGTGGTTGGAGGAGCTGTTGTAGTGGTTGTGGTTGGAGGAGCTGTAGTTGTCGTGGTTTGAGGAGCTGTTGTTGTCGTGGTTGGAGGATCTGTAGTTGTTGTGGTTGGAGGAGCTGTTGTTGTCATGGTTGGAGGAGCTGTAGTTGTTGTGGTTGGAGGAGCTGTAGTTGTAGTGGTTGGAGGAGCTGTAGTTGTCGTGGTTGGAGGAGCTGTAGTTTTCGTGGTTGGAGGGGCTGTAGTTGTTGTGGTTGGAGGAGCTGTAGTTGTAGTGGTTGGAGGAGCTGTAGTTGTTGTGGTTGGAGTAGCTGTAGTTGTTGTGGTTAGAGGAGCTGTTGTTGTTGTGGTTGGAGGAGCTGTAGTTGTCGTGGTTGGAGGAGCTGTAGTTGTCGTGGTTGGAGGAGCTGTAGTTGTTGTGGTTGGAGGGGCTGTAGTTGTTGTGGTTGGAGGAGCTGTAGTTGTAGTGGTTGGAGGAGCTGTAGTTGTTGTGGTTTGAGGAGCTGTAGTTGTTGTGGTTAGAGGAGCTGTTGTTGTTTTGGTTGGAGGGGCTGTAGTTGTTGTGGTTGGAGGAGCTGTAGTTGTTGTGGTTGGAATAGCTGTAGTTGTCGTGGTTGGAGCTGTGGTCGTTGTGGTTGGAGGAGCTGTAGTTGTAGTTGTTGGAGGAGCTGTAGTTGTCGTGGTTGGAGGAGCTGTAGTTGTTGTGGTTGGAGGGGCTGTAGTTGTTGTGGTTGGAGGAGCTGTAGTTGTTGGAGGAGCTGTTGTCGTGGTTGGAGGAGCTGTAGTTGTAGTGGTTGGAGGAGCTGTAGTTGTCGTGGTTGGCGGAGCTGTGGTTGTCGTGGTTGGAGGGGCTGTAGTTGTGGTTGGGAGAGCTGTTGTTGTCGTGGTTGGAGGGGCTGTAGTTGTCGTGGTTGGAGGAATTGTGGTTGTAGTGGTTGGAGGAGCTGTTGTTGTCGTGGTTGGAGGAGCTGTAGTTGTTGTGGTTGGAGGGGCTGTAGTTGTTGTGGTTGGAGGAGCTGTAGTTGTTGGAGGAGCTGTTGTCGTGGTTGGAGGAGCTGTAGTTGTAGTGGTTGGAGGAGCTGTAGTTGTCGTGGTTGGCGGAGCTGTAGTTTTCGTGGTTGGAGGGGCTGTAGTTGTTGTGGTTGGAGGAGCTGTAGTTGTAGTGGTTGGAGGAGCTGTAGTTGTTGTGGTTGGGAGAACTGTTGTTTTCGTGGTTTGAGGGGCTGTAGTTGTTGTGGTTGGAGGAGCTGTAGTTGTTGTGGTTGGAGGAGCTGTAGTTGTCGTGGTTGGAGGAGCTGTAGTTGTCGTGGTTGGAGGAGCTGTTGTTGTCGTGGTTGGAGCTGTGGTCGTTGTGGTTGGAGGAGCTGTAGTTGTAGTTGTTGGAGGAGCTGTTGTCGTGGTTGGAGGAGCTGTTGTAGTGGTTGTGGTTGGAGGAGCTGTAGTTGTCGTGGTTTGAGGAGCTGTTGTTGTCGTGGTTGGAGGATCTGTAGTTGTTGTGGTTGGAGGAGCTGTTGTTGTCATGGTTGGAGGAGCTGTAGTTGTTGTGGTTGGAGGAGCTGTAGTTGTAGTGGTTGGAGGAGCTGTAGTTGTCGTGGTTGGAGGAGCTGTAGTTGTTGTGGTTAGAGGAGCTGTTGTTGTTGTGGTTGGAGGAGCTGTAGTTGTAGTGGGTGGAGGAGCTGTAGTTGTCGTGGTTGGAGGAGCTGTAGTTGTCGTGGTTGGAGGAGCTGTAGTTGTCGTGGTTGGAGCTGTGGTTGTTGTGGTTGGAGGAGCTGTGGTTGTTGTGGTTGGAGGAGCTGTAGTTGTTGTGGTTGGAGGAGCTGTAGTTGTTGTGGTTGGAGGAGTTGTAGCTGTGAGAATCAACAACAAATTACTGAACATTCATTTAATCAAACTGTCCTTGGGCTAAAATGACAACTCTTCCTAATTTATGGTATTTTGTGCTGCCTCAGCTGTTTATGATGTCATGCAAACGTGCGTCTCACGGCAGCCGAAGCAAACCAAGATGGCGGACATGAAGTCACCGAAAAAGTTTAAATACGAACAAATAGACACAAATGTCAGTTTTAATGCAATTTGAGACGAGATGTTGATGGTTTCATGTTGTGATATGTGGGTTTTCAGAGTAAAAGGTTTGTTTAAAGTAGTAATTGCTCCAGTCAAACCACACAGCTTCTCTTCTCGTCAAGTTGAACTGTCGCATACGTGATTTTACTGACGTAGGCCAATGACGCGTCCTGTAGCTAACTTGACAGTCTCGTCATGGGCCTACGTCTGTGAAATGACGTATGCGGCAGTTAAACTCGACAAGAAAGGGACTTCAGTAGCGGTGTGGTTTGACCCTTGGTCATTTTGAACCTTCTAAACCCTAATTTACTGTAGGTGTTTTAATCACTGTAGCATGTACTTTCGACTCGAGGACAGCTCAAGCTTTTTTGCAAACATCAAGAAGTTATGGCTCAAACCTCTGGCTCCACCCCTTATAAGTACTATAAGCTCCAAAGTGCATATAAGTAATAAATAGTGGACTGACCATGTGCTGACATCACTTTAGTGTTTGCCAAAGGCGGAATAAGCCCATTTGAGAATAAGCTAGCTGGACCCTATTTCCTTATTTGTGGATTTGTTCTGAATACATTAGCTTCTTGCTGGTGTTCTGTCGAGTTGTGCTGCCTCAGCTGTTTATGATGTATGGCAAACCTGCGCATGTGCGTTTCACGCACGCAGATGCCTACCAAGATGGCGGACGTAAAGTCTTTGAATTGTTTAAAAAGTTTAAATACGAACGAATAACTAAATTACACACTAATAACACAAATTAAATCTATTAAACCACACAGCTACAATATGATAGCAGTCCTCTTGTCGAGTTGAACTGCCGCATATGGCATACGTTTTACTGACGTAGGCCAATGACTCGTCCTGTGGCTAACTCGACAGCTAATAGCTTACAACTAGTCTGTCGGTTGATAATGAAAATAATAACCAAATTCTAAGCTTCTGCGCCCGTGAAACACGCATGCGCAGGTTTGCATTACATCATAAACAGCTGAGGCAGCACAACTCGACAGAACACCAGCAAGAAGCTAATGTATTCAGAACAAATCCACAAATAAGGAAATAGGGTCCAGCTAGCTTATTCTCAAATGGGCTTATTCCGCCTTTGGCAAACACTAAAGTGATGTCAGCACATGGTCAGTCCACTATTTATTACTTATATGCACTTTGGAGCTTATAGTGCAATTGGTCAATTGTTTTAAGGCTCATATCTGGATTTTCAAAGACAATATCAATTCACCAGAATCACAGACAGCTCTAAACCACATAATTTTTTTAAGTCCAAAATGGCGAGAGTGACACAAACAGTTGAGCTAGAAGAGTTTACTTTTAAATATAATTCAATAGACTTTTTTTATTACAACAGGTAACGTTTTAACCTGTTGCTTAAAGTCGTCTAACAAGGTGTCTCTTGACCCAGATTTAAACCCTATATTAAGCAATAATTCCCCAACAAAGCTGCATATGTGCACACAGAAAAGACGACAAGAGCGATTAACAAACAATCACAATCATAGATAAAACACTCAAGAAGAAAGGAACAATGATAAAACATGAAGAATATATTGCACAGTACAGCACTTTACGCAGAAAGCTGGTAGAAGATATGTTCATGCGCGTGGAGTACGGCTGAAGCAGAGAAATGTAGTGCAACATCAGCCTGCACCAGTTACCAACACTGGATAGATAGATAGATAGTATAGATATACTGCATATCACAGTATCAGTGTTAGGAGCAAAAAGTAATTGCAAACAGTGGTAAAACAAAAGTTCCACATTTGTACACACATATCAACAGTGGTCTGTTTATTTTTCTTAAAAGTATCGGGAAGTGGCAACAATATTCCATGATGTTGGTCACTGGAACATTTTTCAGAAAAAAATAATTATATGGCAGCTCTAATCACTATTAAATAATGATTTGGGAAAATATTGATTTATTTCCCATTGAGTTGAATTGGCTAAAACTGCTAAAATACTGGAATGGAATTCCGGAGCAGATATCCAAAGCTACAGTATCATGATCAGGAAAGAGCTGGATCAATCATGTGCATTTTAGGAGAATTTGTATATTTTGCTTTGTATCTTTTGCAGGATTAAATGAGGACTAGAGTGCAGCTGATATTCACCTGTACCGATGGACAGAGTTAAGGCCAGCGACAGCAGCAGCGGCAGTGCTGTCTTCATGTCTGCAGATGTCTTCAGGCGTGTTTCTTTCTCTAATGCACCTGTAAGTGTGACTGGATGCTGCTCTTGTCCGACTCCTTTTAAACTGGATGTGCTTCGGGAGGGCCTGTTGCAATGACTGTTGTTCAAAATCATGAATGGAAAATTCACCGCGCCCTTTACACAACCACACCAAACAAAAACAAATCTGAATATTAATACGCACCAAGCTTTCCACAACTGGTTTTACAAGACAGGATTGAACATTAAAACAATACAACATTTGACTTGTTTCATAACCTTCTTCAACCGACAAGGCTGGTAAATGAAATAAATGAATAATAAATATAAAGCCACTTCAGCGCGGTTTTTGTATGTGCTGATTACATCATCATGGCAAAAGCTGATAGACCAGGCATGGGCAAACTTTTCAACCTGAGGGCCACATTGAATATCAGCCTGCTGTCGGGTGCCGGACTTAATTTCCGATAGGTTTTTTTCAGGCATTACTTTTTTTTAAATGTTGCACTATATACAATATTATTTAGAGGGAGTTCATAGTATTTAGACCAGGGGTCATCAACTATATTTGGCTATATCCACACGAAGACAAAACGCTTATAATTTCAGAAACTTTTTCTGTAAACACGGAGTTAGCTCAGTAAATGTGTGCGTCCATATGAATGTAGTCAATACGCCTGAAAACGCTGTGAAACTATGCCAGACCTGTTGGTGGCGCTGTGACGCAATGACGGGATCAAGCCCAAACTTCCGTGGGCATGCGCGGAATTTTGTAAACAGACAACATGGCGAGTGGGCGAGCTGGTACTACATTAGTATGGACGGACGATGAGGTTGAACTGTTGCTTCGGGTCACACTGGATTACAAAACCAACAAGCTACATTGTTGTTGTCATTATTTTCTGAGTGCGGCGCATGCTGCTTTAACAAGAGGCGGGGCGATGACGCAAGCGTCTCAGATACATTGCGGAGAGGCAGTAACCACGGAGCGGCATATACGGAGTTTTGAAATCTTTCCACTCTGGGACCTACTTTCAAAAATGTTCGTTTACACCCCCCCAAAACGCCGGCCTCGTATGGACGATACACTGGATTGACAAAGTATTTTTGCGTTTAGGCCTGAGCTTGACTTCGTGTGGACAGGGCCTTAGTCATTTGCAGTAAAACCACGTTGGAATACATCCGCGAAAGTCCCCGGTGTGCACAAGGTGTTAGGGTCTCCGGGGACCCATTTACAATACAATTACAATACAATACAATTTATTCTTGTATAGCCCTAAAACTCAGTCTCAGTGGACTTAACAAAACCATTAAAATCACCAACACTGATCAGAGAATCAACAGTTAAAACACATAAAGAATATAGAACACATGTTGAAAAATGTCCATACATGTTGTAGAATGTTAGTGTCCTGGATCATCACCACAATCCTTCTGGTTATAAGGGTATAATTTGTAATAACTACCATGAAGTTGATGTTATTAGAACGAGGCTTTATGATATCCTCCACAGCACACACATAAACACAGCAAAACTCATTCATTCATTCATTCATTTTCAAGCCCTTTATTGTCCATTTCTGGGTCAGGGGGGTGGCAATGAGAGCTGCACCCAATGCTCATAGCACCAGTCCCTCTGATCCTCTGCAGGGGGTGAGTCCACAGGAAGATGGCTGCTCCGTCAGCGGTGAAACAGCCTTGGTCTTTCAGCGGGGGCTTCAGGCAACATGGGGTTAAGTGTCTTGCCCAAGGACACAACGACAGTAGACATCAGTGGGAGCAGTTGGAGTTGGTCCCATGGTGGGAATCGAACTCACAACCTCCAGGCTCAAATGCCACTGCTCTACCAACTGAGCTACTGTCGTAAAACTATGTTTTACAATTTAGACATTTCTGAAGGTATTGGCAGAAAAAAAGTTCCGGCTGTGGTGTTAAGGTCATTTTTGACCCGGCATGGTAAAACTAAACTTTACATCTCCGCACTGTGGGTGACTCCATGTGACTTCCTGTATCTGGTGAGCGTGTTTCTTGACTACTATCACTCTGCTCTCTGTTTGCACTAACAAACGCATTAAAAATCCACGTATTGCATACCAAGCTAACTGTGTAGGCACTGTCAGCTGTACTGCAGCTGAGGTTTAGGTAGCGGTTGTTTGTCTGGTCTCGGAGTCTGTTGTGCGGGCCCGGATCCGGACTAGCTTAGCCTAGCCTAGCCGCTAACTCGCTACTCCTATGGCGGCTGCTGTCTCTCCCTCAATCCTTCACTGCTCAAGTTGCCATATGGCGAGTCTAAACCCTGGATCCTTCTCTGAGGGTAGTGATAGATGTGTGAAGTGTAGTGTAGTCGTAGCTCTGGAATCCAGGGTCAGTGAGTTAGAGCTGCGTCTCCGAGCACTGGAGTCTCGAGCTAGCGCTAGCATTAGCTACAGCCAGGCCGTATCCTCAGGGACAGCGGAGCGCAGCTTTAGGGAAAGGCAGAGGAGAACTAGCGAGCCTAGCCTCCCAGCCCGTCCTCCGCAGCTGGGACAAGACCAGGATAGTGATGGCTTTGTATGGAAAAATTTTTGTGTCATCAGATTTTGAATTTTTTTTAGCTTGAATTCTTCAGTTTGAAATGTTTAACCCTGAAAAAGCAAGTTTGAATATTTTTATCTTAAAATTTCAGTCACTAAAAATTCAGTTTACAAATTTCAATGTGATTAAAATTTCAAAATGACATATTCACCCTCAAAATATTCAAAACATTTTTTTTCAATGAAAAAAAAAGACAGATTATTTGTTCCATCAGATATTGAATTTTAAATGGACCTGAATTCATCTATTTGAATGTTTTTAACATCTTGAATATTTTTTTCTGTAAATTTCAGTCACTGATTATCAATTTCATAATGTTAAATTCAACAGTCAAAATTCAACGAGAAAAAATTCAATGGTGAAAAATGCACATGACACATCCGGTGTTCTGACGAGTTATGTGCTGCGCAAATGAACTCTGTTTTCTCTTCACTGACGTTGGAATCTCTCGTTATCTACATTAGACCCTTTAGAACTAATGGAGATTTTGTTAACTTAGAATATTTACGTTACCGTCACTTTAAGAAAGAGAGAGAGGATTTTCTTTGTTTACGGAGCGAGTGGAGCCGAAAGAGCGCGTAACTTTTCACAGCTCAAGAAATAAGCAGCCATACGGTGTTCTTACCGTTGTTACTTTATTTCAGAGACAACTCAGAAAATATCATTTAGTGTACAAGGGTTCGAGCTGTGGAATACATGTTTTTTGTTAATTCCTTTACATGGAGCTCTTTTTCAAGTAACACGAGTGAGCCCTGTGGAAACTGCTACACGGGAAACTAGACCCAAATACTGTGTCACGTTACCAACAATAACACTGTCCTTTGTTGCTATAAATGTTCAAATGTGATGGTTTTCATGAACACAAACACACACAGCCTAAATAAATAAACAGGAATATACAGCTATAATGATTTGAAACGAGCACATTTACCCAAAAAGACTAACTCATCAAATTAATGTAGTATCATCTTGTTATTCGCCTTGGTTTCATTACAATCCATTCATTAGAAATCCCATATCAACCTGTTAGATTCATGTTATCAACCGATAGACCTGCTGAAAGCTAGCGCCAGTCTTTACCTCAGTAAAATGACGCATGCGCAGACCAACTGACAGAGCAACTGACAGAGCAACTGACAGAGCAACTGACAGAGCACAGAACTCGTCAGAACACCGGATGTGTCATGTGCATTTTTCACCATTGAATTTTTTCTCGTTGAATTTGACATTATGAAATTGATAATCAGTGATTGAAATTCACAGAAAAAAATATTCAAGATGTTAAAAACATTCAAATAGATAAATTCAGGTCCATTTAAAATTCAATTTTTGATGGAACAAATAATCCGTCTTTTTTTTACATTGAAAAAAAAAATGTATTGAATATTTTGAGGGTGAATATGTTATTTTGAAATTTTAATCACATTTAAATTTGTAAACTGAATTTTTAGTGACTGAAAAGTAAAGATAAAAATATTCAGGGTTAAAAATTTCAAACGGAAAAATTCAAGCTAAAAAAAATTCTAAATCTGACGACACATCAAATCTGCCATACTTTGTGACTGTTCGGAGAGGCCGACGTGTTGTTGCTAGTTTCCCCATTGGGCATCCTCCTGTTAGCATTTACAATCCCAGATCAATATATTGATCAGGGATCAATATATTTATGTTGAAGAGAATCTGTTCAGTTACTAGCCTCAGAACCTAGTCAGATTGAAACTGTGTGTGTTCCTCGCTTGAAGTCTAAAGCACTATATGCGAGGAAATCTGACCTGGGTGTCAGACACAGTAACTTAATAAAAGTTCAGACTTTTCAAAAGTTTGTTCTAAAACTAGGGTTGTTAAATGTGGATTAATGAACGTCAGATCAATCTCGTCTAAATCGCTTCTTATAGACAAAAACTTGGATTTGTTTGCGCTCTCTGAGACTTGGCTCCAACAGGACGACTACGTTAGATTGAATGAGTGCACTCCTCCGACGCATGTTAACTACCAGAAAGCCAGAACTACAGGTCGCGGCGGCGGCGTTGCAATTATATCACACACCAACTTATTTCTTAGTAGGGATGTACCGATCCGATATTCAGTATCGGTATCGGGGCCGATATGGCTATTTTGTAAGGATCGGAATGTATCGGATTTGTTACGAATATCGGGCCGATTTACATCACTTTTCAGCATGCTCACGCTTTACGGCTGTCGTAAACGCGTTGATAAGTTGCAAACATGTCTGCTATCCAGGACTATTTTTTACTGGTAAATGGTGATAGTCAAACGGCTACTTGCAATATTTGTAAAGTAGCAGTTTCACGCGGAGGGAACAAAAAGGCTCATTTCAACACTACAAACTTAATCCGTCACTTGGAAAGGAACCACGCAGCGGAGTAAGACCTTTACAAGAGCAAGACTGCGAAGCCACAACAACA